GACCAGACCAACCTCGAGCCATAACCTTCCCAATCTGCCTCATGAGTAGCTGTGACTAAGGTGTAGGTGGTTTTTTGTTTTTGTTTTTTTGTATTTGATTTACTGTTATTCTTTAAAAATTCACTGAAGAAATCACAGCTGGGCCCTTTGGCTCATGCTTTAATCCTAAATACTCAAGTGGCTGAAATTTGAGGATTGAGATTTGAAGCTAATCTGGGTTGACAAATCTTGGAGACTCTTATTTCCAATTAACCAGCAACTCCAGAACTGGAGGGTAAGGCACAAGTCGTAGATTACCAGCCATGAGCAGAAAAGCTGAATGAGAGTGTGAGACCTTGAGTCCAAGCCCCCAGTACTGGTAAATACATACAAAAACAAATAAAAGTAAAAACAGGTAAATAAACATAAAACAAGCTATTGCATTTTTCAGTTCAAGTGGAAATATGTTAGCATATTATACTATAAAACAACAAAAAATCTGGTTTTGGAAATGTGCTTAATAGCTTATTTAAACTTTTTAGAAAATTAGAAATTTAGTTTGGGAATGTGGCTTAGTGGTAGAGTGCTTGCCTAGCATGCATGAAGCCCTGCGTTCAATTCTTCAGTACCACATAAACAGAAAAAAAATGGAAGTGGTGCTGTGGCTCAAGTGGTAGAGTGCTAGCCTTGAGCAGAAGCTCAGGGACAGTGACAGGCCCCGAGTTCAAGCCTGGCATCCCTCCTCCCCCCCTCCAAAATTAGAAATTTAAAGGAAGCCTCATTTGTGAACTATATATAGTAGAGAAAATTTGAACATTTCAGTGATTTGATATTTTCAGCTAAATTTTAGTGTGTGTGTGTGTATACATATATATGTACGTGTGTGTGTGTGTGCGCATGTGCATGCGTGTGTGCATGCACTGGTACAGGGCTTGAACTCAGGGCCAGGGTCCCTTAGCTTATTTGCTCAAGACTGGTGCTCCACCATGATCCACAGCCCCACTTCTGCCTTTTTGGTGGTTAATTGGAGATAAGAATCTCACTGACTTTCCTGCTTAAGCTGACTTTGAGCTGTGATTCTCAGATCTCAGCTTCCTGAGTAGATAGGATTGCAGGTGTGAGCTACATGTGCTTGGCAGTTTATAATAATTTTTTTTTTTTTTTGGGTCCCATCGTGGGGCCTGAACTCTGGGCCTGGGTGCTGTCTCTCAGCTCTTCAGCTCAAGGCTAGCGCTCTACCACTTGAGCCACAGCATCACTTCCGGCTTTTTTCTTTTTGCTTAGGTGGTGCTGAGGAATCGAACCCAGGGCCTCATGCATGCAAGGCAAGCACTCTACCACTGAGCCACCTTCCCAGCCCCATGCTTGGCAGTTTAAATGATAATTTAAGTGTAAAATGTGCATAATATGATTGCATTTTCATATTAAAAAGTACAATGTGGCTATTTATGTGCAAAAAGGAATCTGGACTGATAGATATAATGCAGTCATCTTAATTAGAACAGGAATGGAGCAATAGATATGGGAAATGCATATTCACAAACAGCCAGCATGATTCTGAAATTATGTTTTTAAAGGATGATAAAACTACATTGTGTTGAAAAGAATTAAACTTGGCACCTTGGATATGCTAGGAAAGCATTCTACTACTGAGTACACTCCCAGCCCCACTTTACAAAGATTTTTAATACTTATTTGTATTGGATGATAATAAGATGTAATCTCATCAGTGGATATTAAATGAAATGACTATCTCTTTGTGAAATAGTTGTGAGATCAGAAGATAAAACATCTCATATAAAATATAAGCTTGCATTGCAGTTGTCTTCCTTGGACCAGCAATGGCATTAATGGCTATTTTTGTTATATAATAGTGAAAAATTATTAGAATTTATTAGGGCTAGAAGGCTGAATTGTTGTTGTTGTTACTGTTCTGAGGCTTGAACTCAGGGCTTGGACACTGTCCTTGAGCTTTTTTGCTCAGGGCTAGCTATTTTCATTTTGAGCCAGAGCTTCACTTCTCGTTTTCTGGTGGTTAATTGGAGATTAGAGTTTCATGGCCTTTCCAGTTCAGCCTGGCTTCCAAACTGCAATCCTCAGATTTCAGCCTCCTGAGTAGCTAGGATTATAGGCAAGAGCCATCAGCGCCTGCCCAGCTTGAACTCTTTTAACTCTGTTCGACGCCTCAGATGTTGTTAGTCAATGCAGGGACTTGTGCAGGAAATACACAAAACTATTAATTACTTGACATTTATTATTTTTGACAGTATTGGGGATTGAACTCAGGGCCCTTGGACTTGCTAGGCAACTATTATTTCTAACAGGTTATATACTTGTTTGTAGTAGCTCTTCACATCCAATTCTTCTCTAATTCAGCCTTTATGTATGTGTATCTACATACATATTCATATGCACATACGAATTTGTGTTGGGAGTGAGCTAGAGATAGAACCTTGTATATTTCAGGCACCATTCTGCTACTAAATTATACTTGCCCCTCTCTTTAAGCCTTCATATTGTACTCTAGGGATCTAGGTAATCTGACTTGTTAGAATAAGATGAATATGAGAACTGTGGGACATGAGAGCTCGCACATGGGTTTTATGGTTTTAGGTTTCAGTGTTTTTGTCTTTGCTTGTTTCAAGGCCCACAACTCTATTCTGGAAGTTTAATCAGGCGTAGTTTCTGTGTTATATTAAAGTAATAGAATTCATTCTACAAGGAATTCTAATCCTGCATTTTCCTCCTGTAAAATTTTATTTATAAATCTGTATGAGGATACTATTTTTACTTGTTATAGACAAGTGAAAATCGTTACTTCAAAGAACGATTTTTAGCTGGGTGCTGGTGGCTCACACCTGTAATCCTAGCTACTGAGGAGGCTGAGATCTAGGATCATGGTTCAAAGCCAGCTCGGGCAGAAAAGTCCGTGGGACTCTTATCTCCAATTAACCACTAGAAAACTGGAAGTGGAGCTGTGGCTTAAGTGGTAGAGCACTTGCTTTGAGCTGAAGAGTTGAGGGACAGTGCCCAGGCCCAGAGTTCAAACCCCATGACCGACAAAAAAAAAAAAATATTTTGCCTGGAAAAATTTTGCTTGAAAACAGCAACATAAGTAAATTAAAATTAGATACTACATTTTTTTTTTTTTGGTCGGTCGTTGGGCTTGAACTCTGAGCCTGGGCTCTGTCCCACTAGCTCAAGGCTAGTGCTGTACCACTTGAGCCACAGCACCACTTCCATCTTTATCTGCTTATGTGGTGCTGAGGAATCGAACCCAAGGCCTCATGCATGCAAGGCAAGCACTTTACCACTGAGCCACCTTCCCAGCCAAGACACTACATATTTCTTAAACCTGAAAAGTTGCAGAACCCCATAAAAATGCTTGGATTCGTAAGAGGCTGATTTTTGTGTATTATTATTCTTGATAGTGGAAATAAGATATTCAGAATGTTAAGGTTATGATTATGTCATCTCATAACAAGTATGGCATTTTCATTTGTATTTCACAAAACTGATGAGTTTATTAGAGATCACTTCAATTCAACTGGAAGTTCCAATGTTGACTTTTTATTTAGTGGGCCATTTAAAGTTAGGTTTCAGATGTGTAATATATACTTCTATTTTATTTAGAACAAATATAGTTGATTCTTCATTATCTTATTTTCATTGAAGAGAATTTAAAAAACCCTCTTAACCTGTAGATAGCTGTTAAATTTAGTTTATTAATGATATTATATTTAATTTAATTTTTTAATTTTTCTTTTTTTTTTTTTGGGTCCGGTCGTGGGGCCTGAACTCTGGTCCTGGGTGCTGTCCCTCAGCTCTTCAGCTCAAGGCTAGCGCTCTACCACTTGAGCACAGCGCCACTTCCAGCTTTTTTTCTTTTTTGCTTATGTGGTGCTGAGGAATTGAACCCAGGGCCTCTGGCATGCAAGGCAAGCGCTCTACCACTGAGCCACCTTCCCAGCCCCTGATATTTTATTTTTTGATTGTGGGGCTTGAACTCGCCTGGCAATTAATGTTTTTTTTTTTCCCACGTCAGATGAGTAATGTGCCCACGTCGTAACAAAGTTTAGAGGGAGGCACATGTCACGCAGGCGCAGGCGTGTGAGAACCCAGTCATCACACTTATGAACCAGAAAAGGATATGATTTTTTTCTTTTGGCCAGTCCTGGGACTTGAACTCAGGGCTTGGGTACTGTTCTTGAGCTTCTTTTGCTCAAGGCTAGCACTCTACCACTTGAGCCATAGTGCTACTTCCAGCCTTTTCTATGTATGTGGTACTGAGGAATTGGACCCAGGGCTTCATGAATGCTAGGCAAGCACTCTACCACTAAGCCACATTCCCAGCCTTATAAATGGTACTCCATTTTGCTGATTAGACACTTCTAATGTTTCCTTTGTTATAACTTAATTTAACATTTATAGGATTAAGCAGCTGTAAAGATTTTTCTTAGGTTGTATGCTCATCTAATTCTATTTATTTATTTAATTTTTGTTGGTTGTGGGGCTTGAATTCTGGGCTTGGGTGCTGTCCCTCAGCTTTTCAGCTCAAGGCCAGCACTCTATTCCTTGAGCCACAGCACCACTTCCAGTTTTCTAGTGGTTTATTGGAGATAAGAGTCTCACGCCTTTCCTCCCCTGGCTGGCTTTGAACCGTGATCCTCAGATCTCAGCCTCCTGAGTAGCTAGGATTACAGGCATGAGCCATGGGCGCCCAACATTTCTATTTATATTTTAATTGAAGACTGAGCTAATAGCCAATTTCTTGTCCTTCCTTAATGTATTTCTCTTTTTTTCTGACCTTCCAAGTTAAATTTTCCTGATGGCTTAGAATGGGAATTATAAAGTATTTTATGATGTACAGTGCTTGCATGTTGAGCAGTTTAAAATCATATAATGATTTAACAGTGATTGAATTAAGGAAATAAGTCTTTTACCAGACAACAATGTGTAAGAATCGTAAGATGTTATTTTTATGTTCCTTTCGTTAAACTAAATATCTCTTCTAATTTTAGGGGGAAAAAAATAGTGGCTTTGATGTTCTCTACCATAATATGAAACATGGACAGATATCAACAAAAGAACTAGCAGATTTTGTGAGAGAAAGGTATGTATTTTTGTGAGTAATTTTTAAATAAATTGTTAATTTAAATTGTATAAGTAATTGAAAAGTTTTAGATTAGGAATCAAAGCACACTTTTAGAAAAGCATGCAGTACTGGGCTCTGGTGGCTCATGCCTATAATCCTAGCTACTCCTTGCTAGCAGGAAGACTCCTCAGGGATATTACCCAGGCCTTGAGTTCAAGCCCACGATTGACCAAAAGAAAAAAAAAAGCGTGCTATATTTTATATAATTTTTTGTAAGAGTATTTTATTTTATTTTATTTATTTATTTTTGGTCAGTCGTGGGGCTTGAACTCTGGGCCTGGGCGCTGTCCCTCAGCTCTTCAGCTCAAGGTGAGCGCTCTACCACTTGAGCTACAGTGCCACTTCCGGTTTTCTGGTGGTTTATTGGAGATAAGAGTCTCACAGTCTCTCCTGCCCGGGCTGGCTTTGAACTGCGATCCTCAGATCTCAGCCTCCTGAGTAGTTAGGATTACAGGTGTGTGCCACCAGCGCCCGGCTGTAAGAGTATTTTAAAGTAGGCTTAAAAAAAAAATATTACACACAGAGACTGATTTAATGGCTCAAATTTTGAATGACCCTATCTTAACAGCTGGGACTGGTTTTGTGGGCTTATCATGGAGGAAATCTGTAGAGTATTGCAGTTCAGGCTGTCTCAAGGAGGAAAAGGAGAGACCCATCTCAAAAGTAGCCAGAGTCGGAGCTGGGAAGGTGGTCCCAGTGGTAGAGTGCTTGCCTTGCATGCATGAGGCCAAGGGTTTGATTTCTCAGCACCACATAAGCAGAAAAAAGCCGGAAGTGGCTCTGTGGCTCAAGTGGTAGGGGGCTAGCCTTGAGCTGAAGAGCTGAGGGACAGCGCCCAGGCCCAGAGTTCAGGCCCCACAACTGATCCAAAAAAAAAAAGGAATCATCTGACAGGTACAAATAGAAGTGACTTTTAGGAGCCAGAGTAAAAAAGATTGAAGTATGGCTGTATGGCACAAGTATTAGAGAACCCAAATAGCAAGTATGAGGACCTGAGTTCAAACCTTACATTTATCGTCTTTGTAATCCCTCTAACTTACTTCAGTGATAACTGATTTGCTTCTAAAGCTTAAGCTGATTTTTGTTTTCTAGAGTTTTGTATAAATGGAGTCATATGTTATGTAGTCTTGTTCTCCTGCTACTTTCATTCAGTGTATTTGTCCCTAGCTATATTTGGTTTATTGGCTCCAGAAGTCTCCTGAATACTAAAATCCTCAGGTGCTTAAGATTTTTATATAAAATAATAGAGATTTTTGCATATGATCTTCACATCATAGTCATCCAAGTCATAGCTTATCCTAGGGTCCGCTTTTTTTTGGGGGGGGGGGGGGCTCCGGTCATGGGGCCTGAACTCTGGGCCTGGGCGCTGTCCCTCAACTCTTCAGCTCAAGGCTAGCGCTCTACCACTTGAGCCACAGCGCCACTTCCGGCTTTTTTCTTTTTTCTTATGTGGTGCTGAGGAATCGAACCCAGGGCCTTGAGCATGCAAGGCAAGCACTCTACCACTGAGCCACCTTCCCAGCCCCTAGGGTCCGCTTTTATTGTTTTAGGTTCAAGTTTCTTCTGGGTCTTTTTTATGATTTGCCTGCTTATTTGTTTTTAGTGCTGACTAGTGTCCTATTTTTTCAGATGTACCACAGTTTATTATTAATCTCCTGAAGGACATCTTAGTTATTTCCAAGTCTTAGAATTACAAAGAAAATAGCTACAAATAACTGTGCAGATTTTTGGTAGTCTTGTTTTCAGCTCTTTTAGATAAATGAGCAGAATTGTTGAATAACGGAAAGAATATGTTCAGCTTTGTAAGAAATCAGTGAACAGATTGTGGTTCAAAATCAGCCCAGGCAGGAAAGTCCATGAGACTCTTATCTCCAGTTAACCACCAAAAAGCCAGAAGTGGAGCAGTGGCTCATATGTTAGAGTGCTAGTCTTGAGCAAAAAAGCTTTGATAATACAACTAATTCTTCTACATTGGGTAATATGTACATTTCTTCCCTTTTGTTTAGTGTAAGATATTCTCTCTCATTCCCTCCCTCCCATCATTGCCCTTGAGTTACTTAGTTCGTTTTCATCAAGTCCAGTGCAGCTGATGGGCCCCTCTATTGTATATTTTCCCATTTCCCTCTGATTCTGCGCCTTTCTCCTAGCTTCCCTCAGATGCGCGCGCGAGTCGCGCATACACACACGGTTAATTAAGAACATGGAGTCATTTAGAAATGATAGGATAAATTGAATGGAGAGCCTTTGTTTTTCAAGTCCTGTTTACTTTGTCATATCTCCTTGCATTTTGGATTTAATATCCACATATCAGGGAGATCATGTGTTGTTTGTCTCACTGCTCTTGGCTTACCTTGCTCAAAATGATTTGTTCTAGTTCCATCCATTTCCTTGTGAATGCCATTATTTTGTCCTAATGGCTGCATAATATTCCATTGTATATAGGTACCATAATTTTTGGATCCATTCATCTGTGGTGGGGCATCAGGGTTGTTTCCATACCTTGCCTATTGTGAACAGTGGTACAATAAACATGGAGGTGCACGTGTCCTTGCAAGCTGGTTCCTGTTGCTCAGGATAGATGCCCAGGAGTGGTATGGCTGGGTTATGGGGAGGTCTGTATTTAACTTTCCAAAGTGGTTGTATTAGTGTATATTCCCGCCAGCAGTATGCAGTAGGGTCCCTCTTTCTCCGCATCCCCACCAGCATTTGTCATTGATTGAATGTAAGATATGTGCCATTCTGACTATGGGTTGTTTTTAGTTGCATTTCCTTTACAGCCAGGGATGATGAACATTTCCTCATGTGTTTCTTTGCCATTTTTATCTTTTCTTCTGAGAAGTCTCTCTTTAGCTCCCTGGCCCATTTAACAATTGGTTTGTTAGATATGGGAGGGGTGAGTTTCTTGAGTTCCCTGTATGTAATGGATATTTGGCCCTTGTCTGATATATTGCTGGTAAATATTTTTTTCTAAATTAGTTGGCTGTCTTTCTAGTTTGGTAGCTATGTCTTTTTTTTTTCTCTTTTGGTTGGTTGTGGGGCTGAACTCTGGGCCTGGGTGCTGTCCCTGAACTCTTCAGCTCAAGTCTAGCACTCTACCCCTTGAGCCACAGCATCACTGCTGGTTTTTTGGTGGTTAATTGGAGGTAAGAGTCTCATGCCCAGGTTGGCTCTGAACCACTAACCTCAGATCCTCAGCCTCTTGAATAGCTAGGAATACAGGCATGAGCCACTGGCACCTGGCATGGTAACTATGTCTTTAGTGTACAAACTTTTTATTTTAAGATAGTCCCATTTGTTGAGAATTTCTCTCTGATTTGTTGCAACCCTGAACCTCTGTTCAGGAAATCCTGCCTGTGCCTATAAATTCAAGTGTTTCTCCTACTCTGCCCTGCAGTAGTTGCAGAGTTTCAGGTTTGATGTTAAGGTCTTTAATCCATTTTGAGTTGATGTTAGTGCATGTGACAGGCTGTGGTACACTTTTAGTTTTCTGCATGTGGCTGCCCATTTTTCCCAGCACCAATAGTTGAAGAGGCTATGATTTTACTGTATGTCTTTAGTCCCTTTGTCAAAATCAGATGACTATAGGTATGTGATTTTATTTCTGGATCTTCTAATCTGTTCCCTTGGTCTTTGGATATGTTTTTGTGCCAATACCAAGCTGTATTTGTTATTATGGCTCTATAGTGGAGCTTGAAATTTGGCATCATAATCCCTTCTGCATTGTTTCTTTTGCCTGGAATTGCTTTGGCTATTCTAGGGCTTTTGTTGTTCCATATGAATTTTTGGATTGTTTTCTCTATTTTATTTTATTTTAGTTGTTTATTTATTTTTGGGTCCAGTCGTGGGGCCTGAACTCTGGGCCTGGGCGCTGTCCCTCAGCTCAAGGCTAGCACTCTACCACTTGAGCCACAGTGCCACTTCTGGCTTTTTTTTTCTGCTTATGTGGTGCTGAAGAATTGAACCCAGGGCCTCAGCATGCAAGGCAAACGCTGTACCACTGAGCTACCTTCCCAGCCCTATTTATTTATTTTTTGTCAGTCGTGGGCCTGAACTCTGGGCCTGGGCACTGTCCTTCAGCTCTTTAGCTCAAGGCTAGCGCTCTACCACTTGAGCCATTGCACCACTTCTGGCCTTTTCTGCTTATGTGGTGCTGAGGAATCGAACCCCGGGCCTCATACGTGCAAAGCAAGCACTCTACCACTGAGCCACCTTCCCAGCCCTGTTTTCTCTATTTTAGTAAAGAATGTCATTGGGATTTTGAGGGGAATTACATTGAGTTTATATGTCATTTTTGGCAGTATGGCCATTTTCACTATATTAATTCTGTCTATCCAAGAACATAGAAGGTCTTTCCATTTCCTGGTGTCCTCTATTATTTCTTTCTTTCTTTTTTTTTTTTTTGTCAGTCGTGGGGCTTGAACTCTGGGCCTGGGCGCTGGTTCTCAGCTCTTCAGCTCAAGGCGAGCACTCTACCGCTTGAGCCACAGTGCCACTTCCGGTTTTCGAGTGGTTTCGAGATAAGAATCTCACGGACTTTCCTGGCTGGGCTGGCTTTGAACCTTGATCCTCAGATTTCAGCCTCCTGAGTAGCTAGGATTACAGGCGTAAGCCACTGGCGCCCGGCTCTATGATTTCTTACTTTAGGCTTTTATAGTTTTTCAGTAAATACTTACTTTATATCTTTGATTAGGTTAATTCCTAGATTTTTTTTTGAGGTTATTGTGAATGGGTTGTCTCCTTGATTTCCCTTTCTGTTTGTACAATGTTGATGTACAGACAACTGATTTTTGTGGGTTAATGTTGTATCCTGCTACTGTGCTGAAGTGGTTTATAAGTTCTAGGAGTTTGGAAGTGGAGTTTTTGGGATCATTAAGGTATAGTATTGTGTCATCTGCAAATAGTGATAGTTTAATTTCTTCCTTTCGGATGTGCATCCTTTTAAAGTCCTTTTCTTGCAT